CGGCCTGCAGGGCTGACCCCACTCCGCCCTGCCCGCAGGCAGCGCCTGGCGCTCTGGGAAAGCAGGTAGCCGGAGGCCTCGGTCCTTCCCGATGGAGGTGAGGTGGGGGTGAAAAGATATTGGAATTCTGTGTGAAATCATATACAGTTACAAGATCTACATATAAAAATGTGTTAAAATGCGTCAAGGCCCAAATAATTCAGCCACTGACCTAGAAGGAGCACTTTCTAAGAAACACAGGGTTTTTTTCTAGGCTTCTGAAGGAGACCTGCCTCAGCAGCACCCCCGGCACAGTGCTGACCGCAGGCAGCACGCCCCGATCCCAGCCAGGACCGTTGGCCTTCCCTGCCCGCTGGAAACGGCGTTAATCCCACAGGCAGCGCAGGCTTCCCAGGAAACTGCTTGCATAGAGCCTGCTCACCACTGGTTGCTTCACCATTCACTAGCTATGTCTCCGTTTTGTAAGCTAGTGACAACAAAGCTTTTCACGCAGTAAAAGCCTAATACATGGCTATAGGTTGTTTGCCATGAGGATTCCAAACATTAATTGAGCTGTCTTGTACTTCTCATTAAACTTAAAACCAAATATAGTGGCACACAGGGATAGGAAGTGTAGTTTATGATTATCTAGTTGCTCTAAGGTGTATGTCTAAGTATGTGACATCATGGCAAAAGAGAGCAGCAGGAGGGAAGAAAGACAATGAGCAGGAGGCAAAACACTGACTAGTCAGAGCATATCCTTGGAAAGACACTTAAATTGGAGGGGGCGGGGCGCAGTTGAATTATTAAATTACCTATTACATGCTCTACAAAGTTAAATGACAGTGTTGCTAAGGCTCACCATGCACTATTGTGGTAGCTTACATGTGCAAGAGAAAAGCGACTGTCAGACGGATCCTGGAATCCATAGATCTGCACACCATCTGCTGTGATGGTCCTGTCCAGCAAACCGTCAGCACTCCTTCCCAGCTATTCCTGCTCCAGCTATTCTGCTGATGTTAATAAACAGTATGCTGCTCTGGAAGTGTTTGATTATCACACTACATGAAAGCTATCTTCCAACTGAAAGCAGCAAGTTATGAACCTGCATCAAACGTGCTGTGCGTCAGCTGTGACTAGCTCAGAATTGTAACCAGAACCCCAGAAGCAAGACTGGATGTGCTTGATGCCATCCCAAGATAGGCATCAGTTCAGGGCCTGACATCTCCAGGGGGATATTCAGATATACAATGAAGTAGAAGGATCCAGATCTTAAACCAAAGGACAACATGGTATTAGAAATACAGACATCTTTTCCAGGAGCTTCATAGGTTGCTGGACACTTCTGTATATCTCGTCATCAGCTTTGTATCTGACAGCAGTGAGCTGGGAGGACAGGTTGGGTTTTGTCAGTGAAATGCTTTTGCAAGTCAATAGTAGGATTACTTAACCTCTCCCTGTGGACCTTTACATACTATGCACCTACCAGTAACAGTGGAAATAGTTTGGTATACCCACTTCCGTGGTATAAGAGGACACGCTCAGAAATCACACCAAAGAACTACTCTCTTACTAGGAGAAGCATTATCCTTCTCTGCAATATGCGTAAACACCAATATAACAAAATAAATATATTTAGCAAAATAAAATGAGCAAAAATAGCACAGCAGCATGGAACAGATACACAACAGAAGAATCTGCAGTCTTAGGTTACCAGTTTTCCTCCTACTCCTCTCCATCAGGATGCCTGTTACAATGTCAGCCTATTTTCACAAGCATTTTGAGGAATCTTCTTCTCTCAGATATCATAGAGAGCATATACTCTCAAAAGAAACTTCCAAAAGCACTTACAGAAAATGAACATGGGAAAGAGAAAAACTCAAGATATAATAATGACTCCTTCACAAAAGAAACTTTACACTAAGATTTTAAGGAAGTTGCCTGGTCCACACATCAGACCTACCTCCCATTTAAGTTCTACCAAATGAATCTGTCAGAATGCATTACTTCCTTGGGACAGCATCGTCATCATCATGCACCTTCTTAATGGGCTCTTTCTTTAGCAGAAGAAGGTAAGAGGTATGATTGTATCTGCTAAATTATCATTAGGTGAGCCGCAGGCTTTAAGGGTTGGGTTGTCTTTTACAAATCCTGAATACACAAGTCTTTCAAATAACTTTAAAATAGCCACACTACTTACAGCCATCAAAATGTGAAGCACAGTCATTAAAATGAGATAGATTTTTTTCTGAGAAAACATAGACTAAGACTACTCTGAAAAAGACATTCATTTCAGTGGTTGCACCGAGAAAGACTAATGCAGAAATGAATTCGTATTTTCCTTCTTAAACAAAATAAACACAGAAAGTACATACAAATAGCCAAAGAAATATTACAGATGAAAAGGGTTCCCCTCATCCTCTTCTCACAGTGTAAAACAGTCCTTTCCATGTAACAGCTAAATCTAAAGCATATGCCACTGAAAATGGAATTTCACAGACAAATTCATGATAGTATGAGGCAAGACGTGCTCACTTTCTTAGGGCTGAGTGATTTGCTGTGAGGCTAGTACAACCCACAGCTCAACAGCAATGTTTTGTAAACAATATAACTAAATGCTTCCTTCTGTGCCTTGTGGTTGCCTACAGAAGCTGCCTTCCTACCCTGCCAACATGACATTTCACTAATTCAGACAGCAGCACTTCTGAAGAGACAAAGGTTCCTCTCTGCTGCTGACAAGAACTATATGTGTTTCTGAAGTCACTGCTAGTAACTTCTGGATGTGCTGCCTCCCAGTTCTAAAACCCTTTATGAAAAAGCCTGAAGGGGGAACAAGCTATAAGAGAAGAGCACTAGCTAAGGAATTCTAGAAGATTTAGTCTTCCCCATCCTATCTAACAGGAAATGGGCAACGCCAACAGAGAAAACTGATGGCCAGCAGCTCAGCTTACAATGCATTTAAGCATTTAAGGCTGACAAGGTCCACAACTCATCCTTGGTTACCTTTACTGGCAGAGGCCTGGGATGACTCTAGCTGCCAGATGAAATTCAAGAGGAAAACCCACATTGGCACTTTTTCCTGATACACCTCTTCTGCCTGCCGGTGCAGATGGCCAAGTTCCCAAATAGAGCTATTCCCTCTGCTGCCTGAAATAAGGGAAGCTGATGTACACATTTAAACGTCATTCACTAAGGGAATGGCAGGGATGCATACAAACTATCACATTACACTGAGCAGATCACAAGCAATCACGGAAGCCTAGGTTTTGTATGTCAACCATCTAGCATAATGGCAGTTTGATCTCTCACAATCCCAATATGGTTCTAGAGACCAAGCTCCTGTACATTCATTTAAAAAATAAGGTCCTTCTTCCAAATGCTGCTAGTTCTCAGCTTCAGCCTCTTCACAGAGTCTCTCCTTCCAGATATCTAGTCCACTCAACCAGTAGTCAGTCAAACACCATTACGTTGATTCTGGGCAGCACACAGGCAAATGAGTCTGCAGTAAGAGTGTTTAGATAATGTAGGAGCTTTCATTATAGTAAGAATCCTCCTCAGAGTCCTCATGGTCACAGCTGTTCATCAACAAGATGGAGTAGATGGAAGAAATGACACTGCTGTCATTGTCTGTGGCTGGTTTCACCAACACCTTCTGTTTCTCTGCACTCAAAACACACAGATAAAAAAGTTAGCAGTGACCACTGTACCCACAAACTCTAAAATTACTAGTTCTCTGTGAAACTTACAGCCTCTCACTGTCAGTCTGCAATAGGTCTTTCAAGCTGCAGAGCATAGGCCTTTTCCTTTTCAGTTTTCAGCATTAAAAGAACAAAGAGTTGTGGAGGTTTTTTGCTTGTTTGTTTTCTTAAGATTCTTGTATGCCTTTTTCCATTAAGATAGCACAGATGAGGAGACATTCTCCATCCCTTCACTGGCACACAAGTGGCAATGGAAGTGGCTTATAGTGCCTTGCCAGGTAAGGAAGAGAGAAGGAACAAAATATGGTAAGAAGCTCTGAAACCAGTAAAGGTTGTTCAGGATGCTCAGGGCCCCATCAAAATCTCCATACATTTAAGCATGCAAGCTGTCCTCTTGATGCCTACCAAGGCTCTTGGAAAGGCTTCTTGGGAAGCTCTGACTGAGCTTCTCAAGTGCCCTGTGCATCATTATTCCTCTTTCAGCTAGTTTCTCCTTAGGAAATCCTGTTTCCTAGACATATAGTTATCTTCATCTCAATCAAATGTTTCCATCCATGAATAAAAAGACTACATGGAAACAATTCATCCTTCCTTCCGAAGCGTGCATTGGTGAAGCTAAATGATTTCCTATTAGTAGTCGTTTATATAATTAGAGCATCTATCACATATGAAGGTAAGCTATAAGCTTATTTCCTTTTAGTTCAAACAAGCATGAAGACCACTGGTTTACAAGACAGAAGTGAAGCAGGCTTCCATGAAGGAACCACTTCATCTGATCACCATTAACTACTGGATGAGACACACCAGTAGTGCTACGGCATAATCTGCAGATGTCCGTATTACAAGAGACCAGTGTCAGGTCTGCAGAGGTGAAAGCAATTCATGAAGCTGAGCTGGGCAGCCTCTCAGCAGGGTGGCATTTCCTGAGACAATTAGCCCATGTTGCTTAAATAGGTTATAATTTCAAGTTTGAACTAACACTGCTTAGCAATGTCATTCTGTGCCACCACAAAGAATCAAAAATGTTTCAAAAGCACCTTTTATTAGGTAAAAGGCTTGACACACTGCAAAATGAAGGATCATGCAGTTGCCTCTATGAGGGGAAAACAAAATAATTACTTAAGGGAATACAGGAATAGAAATTTTTTCAGGGATAGCAGAAAAAGACTTCTACATTTTTCAGCACCTAAATACCAGTGTGAAGTGCTCTAGAAACAAATTTGGAAGAGGGAAGCAGAATAGGAACACCTCATACTGGAGTTTTACTTAAAGCCATCACTATAATGTACAGTGTTTTAGCTACCACTAGACAAGAGGTTATGCATTTAAGCAACAGTGGCTTTAATTTCACAAAAGTAACTTGGCAGAGGAACTGCCAGTTCAGCTACATGTTTACATGACACCAATGTTCCCTTCAGATTCCAAAATCTAGCACACAGAAGAGAATTCAGTTTCTCATCAGCCACTGCTCTGCTGAGTTTTGCAATCTTGTAGTCAACAGTTTAATCAAAAGGTAAAATTTTCAAGGCCCATTCCATAAAGCTTTGCATTTATTTAGCCATCTCTTCAAAACAGCATAAGCTTTAGCATGGTTAAGCTGTCCCACTCAACTGTGGAATTCATACTGAAGTCTTTTTCCTAATTTCATTCATTTCATTTTGTTGTGTAGTTAAGCTAGTTACACAACATACCTTAAAATTAATTTTCTAGTGTTTCTGCTGCATTTCCTGAGCATCTCCTTGGTATGTAGGTGCCAAAAGAAAGTTGTACAAAATAGATGGAATGAGAGATTGTACTCATCATGCCACATCCACCCACCTCTCACCTTTCCGCTCTCTGATAAGGGTCAGGCGATGCTCTTTCATTTCCACATCCAGTTTTTCTACCATCCTGTCAATGCAGTTATCCAGCACCAGAGAGCGTGTCTTTGATTTGATCTCCTGCCTGCAGATGGGGCACTCCACTTTACGTTTCGTCCACTCATTAATACAGTAGGAGCAGAAGCTGTGCGCACAGTTCAGAGTGACCGCCTATGGAATTTGACAGAAGGATAGTTAACAGAGCATGCTTGCACAAGCATTGTCAAGAAAAAAAAATTCTGAAGTCAGGAAAACATTAGATGAACACTTCCTGTAAGGGAAGCAAGGGGAGAAGCCTGAAGCCCCTTTGCTTCAGCCTTCATAGAGGTTACACACAACAACTCTCCCATGCCAGAGTGCAGACAATTTCTACAAGTCAGTTAATGAATTCACCATAGACCATAGCAAGTCAGAAACACAGAGAAAAAGAATTAATTCTAGTATAAAATTCCCCAATTTGAAAAGGATAAATTATGGAAATATACTGATACTGCAGAATAGCATCTTGCATTACTGAGCAACCAGAATTAAAATTTCAGCTAACTCTTAAGTCATTATAACAAGACTAACACATCAGGCTTCCTGCAGTAGAAATGAATAATAAAACTGAAGATCTAGCAAAACACAAACAGAAATAAAAGTCTATGTTCCAGGCATAGCCTATCACTTCTAGAATCAAATTAAAGTAGGCCAGTTTCTCAAAGAGTTTATCTGAACAATATAAACGGTCCAGGACTTGACTGAACACTGCACCTCCCTTCCTTTACTAATCTCCTCCTATATCTAAACCTGAAGCTGTCCAACCCAAATCAACTTGAAGCAAGGTCTCTTACAAAATTATTCTTCCTCAAGTAGGCTGCCAGCAGCAGCTCAGAGCGCAAAGTTAAAACCATCCAAATCTTCTGCAAGCCTGTATGCATCTCAGGATTAAGCACTCATCTCTGTGCAGGTAGTGACATTAAAGCTGACATTGCTGCCCAGAATTAGGGTAGACAGAATGATGGTCCTACCCTTACCCAGAACTCACTGTGTGTCTGTTGAGACTGTTGAACTAGCAAAGTAAAGAAATAAGCCTGACCATAGCATTAATAAAGCTAGGGAAAGCTTACCAAGTCTCTTCTTGCAAACCCATACTAGTTTCAACATACCTCAATAAAGTGCTCAGAACAGATTGTGCACTGCAACTCATTCTCCAAAACATCGTTCATCTGATTCAACACCTCTTCTTTTTGTGCTCTCACCTTTTCCTTCTCCTCCTAGTGCAAAAGTACACATGGTCACATACCAACAAAGAACAAAGTTTTATTCAACATAATATTGGCAGGAAGTGTGTGTGCAGGGGAAGGTAGCACAAGTAAAAATATCCAAGTGTCCACATGTCAAGTCTATACCCAGATCTGTAACCTCTCTCCTCTTTGTAGCCATGGCAGTAATAAAAATATTCCTCATCCCTGTAGAGAACTTACAAGCCAGAACAGCAGCTGTTTCCAAAATTCCCTTCAGCCTAAAGAAACTACTGACAGGATCAATCTTTTCAGAATCTCTTTCACCTCTTCCTGGCATGTGTTTTCTAAAGTCAACAGAACAGTTGTTGTCTGATGTAAAAAGCAACACACCCAACAGACAAAATGCTTCAAATAGTAAAAAGAGGAAGCATAAGAATTTAAAACATTTACTTGCATTTAACTGTCCGATAATTTTTTTATTGTTGTTTGGAGTTAAATTACACTCCTAGGTACCTGCTCTATCTTCTTAAAACAGAGAAATTCTTCCAATTGAAGCTATACTTGAAACAGGAAGAGTTACAAAAAAAACATAAAGCAAACAGCCAGAGGTGGATAACATGATAATTTCCAAGGATAAAACACAGGAAAGGATTTCCTTCATTATTTTCCACTCATCATTTTGTGTCAAGGACAGGGAGAAATGTTGCTTATTCATTATTCAAACTCCATGTTGTTTCAGTCCTACACTCCCTTGTAGGATTGCTGGAACACTGCAGTTTTACTTGAATGAACACACATTAACTGAAAATGAAGCACCTCACTTTTCAAACACACTGTTGTTGGGGTTTTTTGTAGTTTTGGGGTTGGTTTTTTTTGTTTTTTTGTGGTTTGGGGTTTTTTGGTGGTGGGTTTTTTTTTCCCTTGGTTGTTTTCTTTAAAGAACAGTTTGAATGGACCCACTTCTCCAGCACAACAAACAGTTCAGGTGTTCTGGGCTTTTTTTATGATTGAGAAAGATGTAGTAATGACTGTTCAATACTAATTTAGGAACAGGGCAGGGTGTATCCTCCTCAATCCTGGAAACTAGAGTCAGCTACCACCTCAAAGTAGAGGAGGTTTTCACCATAAGAGACAAAATATAGTCAAGACCAATGCTAAATAAACCATTTCCTCTGCTGCAGCATACCATGTTTCACTTATGAATAGAACTAAGAATTTGGTTATTCCTTACCTTGGTTTCTTCCAGTTCTTTATTTTTGGCTTGGATTATCTCCTCAAAATCTTTTTTACTACGGCTCAGTTCCTCCATCAAAGCATGATGCTGTAACAGTACCATCCCAGAAATTATAAAAGGGCATTATAAGCTATCCTATTAAATATATGTGGCCATAATCATGAGATTCAGCACACTCATTTCACCTAGTCTCCTCCTAATAGAGCAACACGTCTATATGAGTTGGGGTGTTAGGCAGTTTAGCCTTAACTTAAAATTGGAATGTAGCGCCAGTTATTTATGACCTTCCCAGTGTCATGGCACTGCTCATTCCCTCTCCCAGGTTACTCTTTCACTTCAGTTAGACTTTATGGTCACCATTTTGAATATACAGTATCCAGGGGTATTTGACACATAAAGATCACAAAAACCTGTCCTTGTATGAAACTGTTTTCAGATTAGCTTTCAAAAAGGAAAGACCTTTTGCAAAAAGCCTAGAAAACCTAAGTTGTGGCAATCTCTTTCAAAAACGTTCCTGAACAAGAGTGATTTTTTTCCATCTGGTTAAAATTGCAAAACCAACTCCCCTAAACAGATACCCAGCAGACTTACCTCACAAAAAAGACCAAATTTAAATAAACAAACCCATTGCAGCTACTTAATGCTTTAGATTTGAGTGGACATTCTCTCAATATGTACTGGCAAATAGCAACACCCACAAAGGAAGGTCTGCTGCTTTCTGACAGGAATTTGGTCTGTAGATAAATATCATCCAATCTGCACCTAAAGCAAAGTCCTCATTTCTACCAAGAGCAGTAAGATTTAAGTATCAGAGTCACACAGACCAAACCTAGACTCATAACTACTTGCCTCTTGCAGGACCTGGGCCAGCTGCTCCTTCAGATTTTCTTCTCCATGTTGCCCCTTTACTCCCTGTGTAGGGAAGGAAAAGAGGAAATAAAAAAAAAAAGGACTTGCAGAAAGCAAGGGACAGAAAATTACTATTTTGCACCCTCTCTTTAGAGGTTATGCTGAAAGAAACAATTCTGGTTTTCAGCAAACCCTACCATGTCCCACTCTAGTGTTACATGTGTAAGACAAACTAGAGCAATCATTTACTGTGAAGGGTTAAAGTGGATGCATCATTTACAGTTATATACTTGGAACACCTCTAGCTCTAAAGGCACCAGCATGTTCATAGAAGCAAAGAGGTCATCAACAGCTTAAACATGAGAAAAAGCTGCAACTCCACCTTTGATCACATTCAGACATACCTACAGCTCCAGTGGAACTTCCAAGCGTGCCTAAGCACACAACTCCAGGCTTTCTGTACTTCTGATACAGGTATCTTGCTTTTAGCAGCAGACTTTAAAGGAAGTAGCTGATAAATTATGAATCTCACTCCAAGATGAATCCTTACTTCCTTTAAACTAGATTTCGAGCAAACTTGAATAGAAAAATTTCAGTTTGTTATCTAGAAAAGCTACTTACCAACATACACATAGTGCCAAAAAGTCTTTTTTGAAAACAAAATTTCCTTCCCTCCAGGGATTAAAAAAGACACTAATTCACTTGCTTGGAAAGGGAGTGGATTTGCCATGCAAACTGAGCATTAATTCAGGCATATACCAAAAGAAATTCACACTTAAGGTGAATTCTTTTCAACTTGTCCTCTCTAGCCACAGGAGGTCAGGCCAAGACTTCTGATTTATTTAAAACCACACTTTTTTACCAACTGAAAAGCTATACCATCTTGCTGTAATTTACCTGTTCGTAAACAAATTAGAAAAATATCACTTTGTACCTTTTTCCTAATTCCCTATGCAGCCCAATCCTTTCTGTCTCTGCACTTTCTTTTGGTACACGTCTGGAAGTTAAATACTTCCATGGCAATTTTAACAGGAGTAATTCATGCAAACATTGTTTGTTACCGTATGGTTCAAGATCTTATTTTGGATCTATGTCTTATATTAGAAATTAATATAAATGAAAAGACACAGGCCAAAAAGAATACCACCATTATACCTCTAGGTTCTGCTGCTCTTTACAGAATGTCCTCTTCAGCTCTTCCACCTGTCGCTGGTGGTGCTCTTGCTCCATGCACAGCTGGTCTTGCAACTCCCGCAGCTCTTGCTCCATTGCCAGGATATCCTTCTGGGCACACTTCCTGCGCTTCTGCTTCACATTCAGAACTGCCGCCTGCTTCTCCTGCACTTTGACCTTTAACTCTGTTATATCTACTAGAGTTTTCCTCAGCTTTTCCAAGCCAGTCCATGACTCTGCAAGACCAGAGCCCTTCTGGTCCTTATGCAGGACAGACACGACTTTCTGAGCATGCACAGGGCTCCTACATACTGGACCCCTATCCTCCTCACTTGGTCCAGGAGGAGGCAGCTTGACATCCATCTTCTCTGTGAACTGTGTGGCCTCTTCTACCTTTCCCCATGATTTACCCAAAGGTTCACTGTCAAAGGATATTCTGTCTCTCTTGGATCTGGAGTTTGAGGGGCCTTCTGATCCAGATGTCTCCAATTCCTCCAAACTAAATTTACGCTTAGTTCTTGAACTCTTAGCTTTCCCCAGGTCGTTCCTCTGGGCTAAAAAGGGTCTGATTTTCTCCCATTCATCTTTAATTACTTCATACTCATATTCAGCACTCTCTTTGTTTTCCAAAGGCACTCCCAACTGGATACGGTCTCCTTCAGCAATAGGATAGGCTCTTGAGGGATCCAGACGTTGTTTGTTAAGCCAGACTCCATTTAGACTCTGCCAATGAAAAGAGAATCAGCAAAATTTAATATGCAGTTACACAGTCCTCTACAAGTTATTTCTGGCAACTGTAAACATATCCAATCTCTTCAGTGTTGCATTAAGAACAAGCCACCTCTTTAAATAAACTTTGCAATACCCAATTTATTGGCTTAGTGTCCCATTTATTAGTTACTGCATTCTATTACTTACCATGCATTATCCCTGCATTACAGATTTTCTGTACAAGCACCAAGAACAACATTAATAGATGCACTTGTGCAGAAGGAAAAGAATGCTAAAGGAAAAAGCTACCCAAAACCTTCAGAAATAAAAATTAACCAATAAAAAGACTCCACAGTAGATCATTGTCAAGAACATAGAATATTGCAGTGATTATTCTTGACAATTAATGTCACCCGAATTCCAAGAAGAAACTAGAAAAGAAAAAGAAGCATAGCTTATACTGCTTAAAGGAAAAAGACAGTTCTTCATAAATACAGAGGGAATATAAACAAGAAGGAAAATGTTAAAGATAATGTTCAAAACAAAAGGGGTTGTAAATGAGATACAAGACTAGCTCAAGAAATAGTTTTGAAAAACAACAAACTGATATGCACTTAAGATGAACTGCAGAATCATAATTGACATATCTCAAAGACTTAAACTGGTAGCAGTGATAACAGAGGAAGTGTTAATTGTTAACCTACCATAGTTGTTTTTAATCATGCAATTATTGTAAGTTTTCAAGTTTATACAAGTACTGCAACACAGTTTTCTTTAAGAGCTGTGTAACTTTCATAGTAGCCACTATTAGTGGTTATGAATAGTAGCTCCTTTCTGACTAATCTGGTGTTGATCTCAGCAGCTTTCAAATCCCGTAACACGTCAAACAATTTTGTTCTACAAGTGCATTTTAAAGCAAATTACTCATTCTACAGCTTTCAGCCTGAATGAGAAAGGGGAGAGATCATGATATAAAAAACAGGCTAGTGAAATTACAGTGAAACATAGCTGAGAACTCTGATGTCCACACTTAATTCTAATCAGCTGAGGAGGACTTTCAGAAGAAACTCGTTGGAACATACCATAAAGCATAGTTTTTCTAAGAATAAATTTTTGTTGTAGTTGATTATATCTAAAGCACCTGTGTCACTACAATAAGGAGTGTCAGTTTATCCTTTCTTTAGTAGGACAAGAACATTATCCTTTTGAATACTGCCCAAAATTCATGGGAATTTTTTTTAAGACAGCAACACAAAACAGGTTCACAGTTGTCTGAAAAATGCTAACCCAAGATAGGAATCTACATTCAGAAAGCAATCCAGTTTGCATCACAACTGCAGCAGACTGAAGCTTCCTGTTGCAAGTGCACAACAGGCAGGGCACATTCCCATGGACCTTGTATCACACTTATACCATATTTTATCATAGCTAATACATTGCTTGAGCCCGAACAGGGCATTCTCTTCAGCAAATCTCAAGGCATAAGGTCTTTAAGCAGTTTCTGTACCTTGTTATCCTTGACAGTCCACTGCCCTTCTGCATTTTGCTGGAAAACACAGTGCTTCCGAGAGATCATCAAGGGACAGGTTTTTGACACCAGCTGGTATGTGAGATCTAATCCTCGGCCTATAGTTACCTATAAACAAAGTAGTTTAGTAACTGCAATCAGCAACAACATGGTAAATTCAGTTTATGTCATAAACACTATTTCTTCAAAGCAGTACAATTATTTGTGGGTCTCAAGATTACTTCTTACCCTCTTCTTTTGCTAGTTGCATCTGCTCAACTGTCTGTGAACAGGAAAAATGCAGAAAAAAACAGCCCAGAAAACTACCATCAAAAACATGCACATACAACCACGCCCTAAACACACAATACTGTTGTAAATCACACCATCAATTGCACGGCTCAGAAACTAAGCTACATACAGTTCATAACCAGTAATGAAAGTGATCTAAATAATCAGATTAGACTCTAATAGCTTCTTCTGGAAAAAGGGACATAATTTAATTGTACCATTTCATAGTATCTTATTAAATCTGATTTAACTTCAGGCTGCCATTTAAGGCACAGCTCTGCTTTCCTTCCCTTCACTGCCTCCTTTGCAAGATTTGATAATCATACACACTTTTCTTATTCACCTGTGCACCACACAAGTTCTCAGTCAGCTTATCATGTCATTAGACAACTGCATGGATCCAACACAATACAGCACAAACACACAGCCAGACAAAGCAAAACAGACACCTTTTAGGAGAAGCCCACAGTTAAATCTGAGGAAGAATATTATAAAAGTGCTCTCTGCTTTTTATGCCTTAGACAAAAGCTGCCCTCCTTTTCTCCCACAACCCCAACTCATTTGTGCCATACCTCCTAATTCCTACAAGATGCTACAGTCAAGAAAAGTTTGTTCACTACATATTACTTGTGCAGGTCTCACCTTGAATTCAAAGCAAGAACATGGACTCCCATGTCATAACTTGCAAGGAAGCAAACTAAGAAGGCCAGGTTGAATGGGGCTTTGAGCAAACAGGTCTAGTGGAAGGTGTCCTTGCCCATGGCAGGGGTGTTGGAACTAGATGAGCTTTAAGGTCCCTTCCAACCCAAGCCATTCTGTGATTCTATGATCATGCAAGCAAACTTAACCACGTTGGTCCCTACTTCTTAAATGCTTCATACCTATTGGTGTTCTGTCAACATGGATTGCATACATAAAAAGCACAGAGACTCAGGTGGTTAAAGAGTCCACACTTCAGGTGGATTCAGTTATGAACTCTGCACTTGTCCCTGCAGTTGCAGCAGAAATACTTACTCCATGTAAGCAATCCTTAGTACCCAGCCACAGACATCTTGTAGCCTCCTCAGCACCAGCACAAGCAAGACCAAGTATGGCTGGTCACAAAACTTCCCCTTGGTAAGTTTGTCATGCAAACTGTAGCATGGGCCTCAGGCATTACCACTTGCCTGGTGGAGTTGGCTGCTGCTGCCTACAGCAGTCCTGGCAGGTCGCAAGACATCCCCACACCTTGGCAGGGCATTTTGGTACTGGCACTTAAATCCCAAAGAGGTTTGTGCTGAAACACCAGCCCTTGGCCTGGCCTGCCTGCAGTACCTGGATGCCAGCAGTCCCACGGTTGCCTGTGACAGGGACTATACTACTGTGCAGAAAACCAGAGTAATAACATCTTGTGAAGAGAATCTGCACAATTACCAGAGCCCGGGTTGCAAATTTTGCAGCTGTATTAACTCAAATCCTTCACTGATCGTACTTGCACACCTCATGGCTTCAAGTCCACGATGGGAGAATAAGAAAACTATACATTTGCTTAAACAGCTGTGAAGAGGGTTACCTTTTGCAATGCATAAGCACAAAGGAATTTGGAGCAGCACTAACCCACAACATTCAACTACCTGACTTCCACCACTACAGCAGGAACCCTCTTACAGCCCACAGCATAGGACTTTGCCTGATGGGTATAAAGGAAAGAGGACAAAGGCCTGTGTAGGCTTTACAATTAACAAACAGATCACTAAAAAGGGATTATTCCTGGACCGTACCAAAACATAACTGAAACAGACTTAAGACATACACCTCGATACCTTAAGCCACAAACCTTAAATACGTTATGTACTGTTAACCTTGTCAAAGCAAGTCCAGAGGAGGCCACGAGGTTGATAAGGGGGCTGAACCACCTCCCATATGAAACCATCGAAAACTGGGGCTGTTCAGCCTGGAGAAGAGAAGCTGCGTGGAAACCTCATAGCAGCCTTCCAGTATCTGAAGGGCCCTACAAGGATGCTGCAGAGGGACACTTCATCAGGGACTGTAGTGTCAGGACAAGAGGCAATGGGTTTCAATTTAAACAGGGGAATTACAGGTTAGATATTAGGAAGAAGCTCTTTACTATGAGGGTGCTGAGGTGCTGGCACATGTTGCCCAGAGAAGCTGTGGCTGCCGCATCCCTAGCAGTGTTCAAGGCCAGGCTGGATGGGGCTTGGAGCAAACAGGTCTAGTGGAAGGTGTCTCTGCCCATGGCAGGGGGGTTGGAACTAGATGAGCTTTAAGGTCCTTTCCAACCCAAACCATTCTATGATCAACTTGTTAATTAGGCTAAGCATCCCTCACCCCTTAGATTACTGTCCCACACTTGGCTCCCATCTAAGTATGAGACAGCGTTCACAGGCTCTAACAGTTCCT